GAACTTGCATGTAGTGACCAGAATTCAGGAGATTATCAGTCCTGCCAATGCAGGTGTGCAGAGGGGGACACTGGCCACTGTTCCGGACTGATGCGTGTGCCACAGAAGATTGCAGGTTCAGCACAGCCAGGCAGAGGCTGTTCCCTCTGGAGAAAGCCTTGTCAAAGCTTCATGGTGCTCTGTGATGCCCAGGTCTCTCGTGGGTTCTCCTTCCTTCCCCTCAGCCTGTCTTTCTGTCTGTCTCTCACAGCTGAGGGACACACAGATAACCAGGCCTCCCTTGGGCCCTCAGAAGCAGTCTCTAAATGAGGTGACTTGAAAAGGGTCTCTCAGAGCTCGTTACTGCCCCCACCAGCCCTGGGTACAGCAGACTCCCGAGGCTCACTCTCGGGCATCCTCGGTCCCCCGTGACTGACCTCAGCTCGTTTCCGCCCACAGTGGCTGCCCTGTGTAGGTGACTATGAAGAGGCCGCCCAGGTCTAGACAGAACCACTCAGCCGCAGCCCTGAGTGGTAGTGTGAGGCTGCAGGGTGCACAGGTGGTGGTCTAGAGTGGGAGTGGGGTCCTGCTCCACATGGGGGGCTCATGGAACCTCAAAGGGACATGGGAGTGCTGTGACGTCCTTGCATCCTACAAAGATACCGCCACCCTGTTAAAAGACGGCCTTCCTGAGTTCAGGTCGCCAAGCCCTTCTTCCCTTAGTGCTCTTGTGGACTCTTCCCTCTGCCTGGAAACCTTGGGCGCTCTCCTTGCCCACTGTTCTGCACTTCTCCTGGCTGATTCTGGCACATCCTGCAGGTCTTAACCCGTGGGTGGCATCCCAAGCAGAGCCCCACACCCTCCAGCCCAGCCCAGTCCACTGCAGGCTGCACTGTGTGGTGCATCGCAGCTGCAGAGCACGGCTGAGCTGGAAATGAAAGGTTCTCATCACTTGCAGACTCCTGCACTTGAACACAGTCTCCATGCAAGCAGAGTTAGGTCTCTTTTGTGGTCCTGGCACACAGTATGTATTGGATTCCTTTCCTAGGGCTGCCGTAATATATACTTAATGTCTGTCTCACCCTTGGGACTTCTGTGTTTTGTGCAGTCTGCACCCTAGTCCTGGCCAGTGCGCTTGGTGCCTGCTGTGTGTGCAGTACAGGTGTGCTGAGAGAAAGCAGCAAGTGAGGAGGCAGCAGGACTTTGAATTCCGGGGACACCGAGATCCATCCATCTCCCTTTACAGCCCTCTATTCACATGCTGCCATATTTGGGATGAAGTCAAATCAAGCAGACTTTTTTCCCTAATAAAGCCATTTGTTTCCTGTCTGCTTTTCTGCAACAGGATTTGCATGTGATTCATCTAGATTGCAGTAGCCCGATTGAGGCCCTCAATGACAAGCCCCTTAGAAAGTCAGTTATTTCTTGGATCTTATTCCCACCGCTGTAATAGCCGAGGCTGGCTCTGCTAGAGGCGGTTTGGAGCCAAACTGTCCTTGCCCTGACAGCTTCCTGAACCTCCCAAACACCTGGGATATGGTGTTCCATTAAGCCGGCAGGAGAGGCCCTTACTTTTAGGCTGCTCCATCCCCTAACCTGGGAAAGGTACACTTGGAAAAGTTTGGTGTCCTTGGTCAGTGGTCCACCTCATGGGATACAGAGCCATGGCGGAGTCTTCCGGTGGTGTTATTTGTAGGTTTCACTTTTTGGTCTATTTGATAGTATATTGTGAATCTTTTCAGATGCTAATAAAAATCAGTCCCCGTGAGGCTGTTCCCTGGGGTTGGAGGGAAAAACACAACAATGCACTGGTGCAACTTAAAGACCTTAAACTAGAAGTAGTTCTGGCACCTTCTGTGGGCGGGTGGTCATGGGCAACGTGAAGAGATTCATCACTGAGCAGCCACAACATTTGATCATGTTAATTATGCCTGCTCAGGAATTCAGAGCTCCTGTTGCTTTACAATCCAGTGAGTGACAAATGTTTTTTAAATTCATTCTAAGTTTATTTTCAACACTATGAAAATAAGGCTGAGCTCAGGAGGTGGACACACTGGACGGCCTGGGTGCTGTGTGTGCGGTTCAGGTGTGCTGAGAGAACAGCAGAGCTAGGTAAGGGGGCAGCAGGGAGGATCAGAAGTCCCCTGGAAGTGCCAGGGAGGGACATGAGAGGACAGAATGAGAAGAGCAGAGGTGGGGACTGTGTCCTGGGTCTGATTTGGACGCGCTCCCGGTGCCTCTGCAGGGCCCACAGTGCCTCTCGGGATGAGTGGGTATTGGCCTGCTGCCCGCCCGTAGCCTCCGGCCTCCCCGATGTCCCTGCTTTCACCTTGATGGCTGCTCCGTAGGGCCGAGCAGATGCCCAGATGTGCCCCTGGGCTTTCTGCCTGTCGGCAGCCGGGCAGCCATAACCTCATCCATCTGTTGTTTAGATTTTTACTCCCAGGGCAGGAAGCAGGGGCAATTATTCAGTCTCTTCTTTGACCAGAGAACCTCAGGTGTGGCCTCCAGAGGTGGACCCAGGGCACCGCACTCCTGGACCTCTCCCTCAGGAGGCCCTGCTCGCCAGCAGGTGCCTGTTAGTGTTCCTGTGTTGCAGATGAAACAACAGAGGAACAGGGTGGGAAAAGGGCTCACCCAAGGACACCCAGGACAGCAGCCAGTCCAACTGCCACGGTGCATCCATTTCCATCAGCAAACTTAGTTCTGCTGTGAGCAAGTATTGATCCAGTGTAGAGGGAACCGCAGCCACGGCCCTGTCCTCACAGCCTTCTGAGTCCAGTGTTAATGTCCCACATCTGCACAGCTTGACATTGTTCCCCACTGTGCTGCATAGGGAGGCTCAAAGTGTGCACCTGGGAGACTTGGTCCATGGCAGGGGTCAGGTAGGGACTGCGTTGCATGGGGACATACAATTGAGCTCTGAAACATGAATAAAAATTGAAAGCAGGGTAAGGAGAAGGGATTTTCAAGAGGCCAGGAGAGGGACAGCAACCTTTGGGTCCTGAAAGGGGAAGAGGCAAGTGTATTTGAGCAACTGACAGGAAGACAGTGAGTGGGAGGGATGGCTGGGGCTGGTGGCAGGGCCAGGGGAACAGCCTTGAATGACACAGGGGCTTGGGTGTCTCTCTAGGAGCAGTGGCAAGGACTCTGCCAGCAAGAGAACAGCTTCGTCTGTTTGTACTTGAGAGGTCATCACCAGCTGCTTTCCATACTCTGGTCACCAGAGCAGTGACTGTGCCCTGCTCTGAACCATTCAGGCTACCATCACAGAAATTGCTAAAACAAAAGAGCTTTTCTTTTACTTATTACCTCTTTATTTGTTTTCCAATTGTAGGTCAGTAAATTGAAATGCACTATGTGGCTGAATTTATTTAAAATAACTTAAAGCTGTGTATTATAGGATGTTTATGTTTTTCTATTAGCCTACTAGAAATGCTGAAGGTAGAGGCAATTCTAGGAAAGATAATGAAATAGAGAAATGTTCCCTCTCCTCAAAAGTTATTCTGATTGATCTAAACAGAGCCTGGATACCTGTAACAGAATCATAAAAAGACTGATAAATGCGATGCACATTATCTAAACATTGAGCTGTGTTTTTTTGGAAAGACACATTTCTTCAATAACCTCTCAAAATTTCCCCCACAGGAGATGCCAGAGAATTATCTTGTGACTTAAACTGAAGTCTCTGAACAGGGTGTAACTTCCTGGGAAGGCTGGGAACTTATGCCCTGAACACTGATCATTAGGGAGCCCTGTGGCCCCTCAACAGAGCCCAGGTGGACACTCCCTTCCGCCCATGGGCCTGCTCCTCTGTGAAAGCTGGGATCTCAGAGGCAGGTACTTAGGATGCCTGGAATGAGCTGACCCGACCTAGCGCAGCACCGTGGGCCTGCACAGGCTGCAGAATGAGGACCCTGGGCTTCCGGTCCAGTGAGTTTGGGGGAAACAGGGCAGATGCTAGTTCCCACAAGAAGCTTGTATGATTATACAAGATAATAAATGTAATAATGGAAATCCCCAATGAAGGCAGCTGAACATGGCAGCAACCTTAAAAAAAGACTGAATTTCTTTTGATGGGGAGGTTCTCCATCATGCCAGGATATTTTGGCAAGAATAATCCATAGAGACAACTTAGAGCATTTTACACACACACACACACACACACACTGAGTGAGGCCTGGTTTCATGGGGTCGCTGTTGGGCACCAGCTGTATGCCTTCCTTGGTGAATGGCTGCTCCCTGTGGTGGTGGAGAGGCCTGTCTTGCCTGCACAGGGGCCCCACCCCTGCCTCAGCTGCTGTCTGTCAGCTCCTCTACTTGATGAGATCTGCAGCTCTTTGGAGGGGTGAGGTTCCCTCCTGCAGAGGTCTATTGACTGTGCCAACCCTGGCATGTTGCAGATGCTTCATTCACTTTGTGACTTTGTGTCACAGACAGGGTTTATTTTTTCCCTGGGAAACCACTTACCTGGAAGCAGAGACCAGCACACCTGCTGCATTTTTGTGGTGCACCAGCAGGGTCTTAGGACTCCAATGAGACCCACCTAGAAAGAAGAAAAGTCAACCCCCACGGGTACAGGCATTTAGATGTTATCGAGATGGCTGGTAATCTTTCAGAATTTAAATTGTTCTTCAAAGTCAGGGATTAAGGGCTGGGGTTGTGGTTCTGTGGTAGAGCACTTGCCTAGCATGTGTGAGGCACTGGGTTTGATTCTCAGCACTGCATATAAATAAATGAATAACATAAAGGGCCATCAATATCCAAAAACATTTTTTTAAAGTCAGGAATAAGATCTAAATTCTTGCAATGCTCGGATGTGAGTTAAAGAAATAAAAGGGGCGAGAGAAGCAGGTACTCACTTACAGGTACGTGCTAGGAGAGATGGCAGCTTGCAGAGACCACAGATTCACACGAACAGAAAACCAGTCCCAGGAGCAGGTGGGAAAAGTGCGTCCTGGAAAACTCCACTGGCCACGTGTCAAGGAAGAGTAACGCCTTCCTCCCTTTGCTCTTCCTAGATTCGTTCGTGGGCGGCGTGATTGGCCTCATCTTTGCATACATCTGCTACCGACAGCACTACCCGCCGCTGGCCAACACGGCCTGCCATAAGCCCTACGTCAGCCTGCGCGTGCCCACCTCGCTGAAGAAGGAGGAGAGGCCCACGGCCGACAGCGCGCCCAGCTTGCCCCTGGAGGGGATCACCGAAGGCCCCGTATGATGATGTCCCGGGAGATGGACGCCGAGCCCCGGGCTCGCTCTTCCCCCAACGCCGTAACACGGTGGCAGAGGTTTTCTGTAGTGTGTTTCTCATCCATTATTTCTCCAAGTTTCCCTTCTGCTTCCATTTTGCCGATGGTCTTCGTGCCACTCTCGAGGTCTCCTTCCACCGTTTTCGAATTTGCAAGGTCAACACACGGAAGCGCTCTCTAAAGACCAGGGAAGGGCTGCAGGGGCGGGTGGGCGTGGCCGGCCGCTTCCCTCCACCTGGTGTTCGCCCTAGCGGTCGCCTTCCTCCTCCTTCATGTTGTAAATCACAATAAAACCTCCCACCTGGAAGACGCGCCGTCCAGTGTGGCGAAGTCATTCGCAGCTGCAGCGGGTTTCACAGCGCAGCCAAAGCCGGCTCTGTCCATGGGGGTCCGGCGGCTGCACCGGGGAGCAAAGGCTCCTGTCCCAGCGCGTGTCCTTGAAGTGGGTTTGAAACGCAGAGCGAAGGCCTTAGCATTCCCCGCACTTTTTGCATCACTTATTTAGAAAGATTCGAGCTGAATACCCCCATACGCAGACCTCTGCCAAGAACAATGAAAACAAAGAAGTGCGAGCCCTTGTGTCAGCAGGGAGGCCACCGAGCTCTGGGCTCTGGGTGCAGGTCCTTCCAACCTTACCATCTAGGTCTGGGAGCCCGCGCCGTAGCTCAGCCTCTTACAGAAAATTCCACTGCACCCAGGGAAGGTGCCACTGACCTCCCAGGTCAGGAAATCAGTTGCCACCCAAGGGTGTGGCTGCATGACCCCGGGAGGACAAAGGCAGCTCCAGGGCCAGAGGTTCCTCTATAGGGTCAGCTGCTGATGTGTCAGTTTAGAACCAGCAGGCGTCTTCCCTAGGTCATCTCTGCTGTGGGTCGGCCCTGGACTCCGGTCCTGTCCAGCTGTGGTGCCTCCAAACTGCTTTCGCTCAAAGCTGCCATGATGGTCTCACAGGTGTGGGGAGGGAAGGGAGGGCCCCAATTGACGTCCATCAAGGTCAAACCATTGACTTGTATCAATGACAACAGCTAACATCTTTGAAAGCAACTTCAAAAATGAATGTGAGGTATTTTCGGTCATAACATGTGATTTTAAATCCAGATCTAAAATTTGTATAAAATTACAAAATTAATACGTAGTTAATAGAAACTACAATGTTCAAAAATAGAAATGTGGGAAAAGGAACTACCATGGGGTGGGGGTAGGGGGGCAGCCCGATATGTGCATACACTTTTTGATTCTAGTTTTTTCTAAGTTTTGCAATATTAAGCAGAAGGAAGAGTTAGACTTCAGTTAATGGTCAATTAAAATTCTGGACCATGAAGTGGAAACTTAATATCCATACTTAACATTTTAAGATTAATGGCCAGGAAGAACTCTGCAAAGTAACAAAAAACAGGATATTGTTAATGCTGATCATTAGACCAAAGGCCCCCAAATAGGCTGTGTAAAAGCTTGATTAGAATTAAAAAGGATGTGACAACATGAACGTGAGGCGGGATCCCTGGGAGCCATAGTTGACAGATACGCCAGCCCACAGAGGCAGGTGTTTTGTGGGTCCATATGTTTTAATTTCATGCTCTATTAATGTGAAGAAAATATAACGCCCTAACGCACAGATGAAATGGCTGGGGGTGAGGGCATTTGTCCCTAGTCCCTGATCCCTTCTGGATGTGAAGGGTTACCGGTCAGTGTCTTTGGCAATGCAGGTGGCATAGGAGGGGAGGGGACAGAGCCCACTTGGAGCTGTGGTGTGCAAGGCGTCTCCTGCCTCTCTGTGTGGACACACTCAGTCCTCACTAGATGCATCAGCATCAAAGGTCAAACAGCTCCTGGGACCAGGAAAGGAACACAAGGAACAAGGGAGGCTGGGAACAGCAGGTAACTAAAGAGCAACACTGGAGAAATGGTGCTCCAAGTTGTCCCTGCCAGATCCCCAGATTTTTAAAAAGAAATCAGGAACCTACATTTTTATGCAGAAGTCCTTGCTTTTATTCCAAGCAGCTATCCATTGAGATGTTTTAGGATGTCACTAACCAAGCATCTAGCTGAAAGCAATTTGATTAGTAGGTTTTGTTCATATAAGAAATCAAGAGATAGATGTCTCAAGGATGCCCAGCCTTTTCCATCTCCTTGCTCCACCATCTCAAGTATGCCAGGGATCCTCATGATCACATGGTGACTGCAGCATTCCCAAGAAACACATCTTTATCTAATTCTGCTTAAAGGAAGAAAGGAATCCAGTCCTGTGACAAGATAATTCTGTTTGTGGTTCTCTTTTTTATTAAGAAAGGAAATATTTCCCTGGGAAAAGTCCCCTTTGTCTACATTAGCTAGAACTGTTATACGGCCTCCCTTAGGAAGGCAATGGTGCTTGGAAAAGGGAGTCTCCCGCGTCTTCAGGCTTTTTGTAGGAGGTAGATTCTGTCTGTTGGGAAAAGAACTAAAGATTGGCTGTTAGGTGGATAAACAGCAGTGTCTATAACGAAATCCAATTTAATTAAAATACAAACAAAAATGGCGCATATATGTGCAGAGCCTGCTGCTTTCAGGCCCCTCTGGTCACATGACTTCTTGGTGGGTTGGAATGTGAGCTAAGGCTCTGTCAATCCATTGAACCCTGTTGGGTCGCGGCTTCTAAAGAGCTCTTGGAACCTAAGCCACTTAGCTTCTCTTCCAGGCCTATTCCATTCCCTGGAGGGTTCTGGAACATTCTTCCACCACCTGTTTTGGGGACTCCATTCCTGTCTTTCCGCACACCATTCCCTTGCCTCCCTTCACTTTATCACCGTGGCACATCCCCTTCTTGCAGTGTTGGTGGGTCCTTGAACCCTAACCTGCTCCCTGAAGCTCTCCGGAACTGACCCTCTTGGGAAGTCTCCCCCTTCCCTGGAGAAGTACCCATACAGGGTAGGGCCACCTCCTACAAAGGGCACCGCAGCCTTCCTAAGCGGGGCTTATAATAGCTCTAGCCACCCAAGCTGACTGGTCAAAAGGGAGACAGCTGGCCCAGGTGGCCAGTCTCGGCCTCACTCCTGGGAGTTGGAGCCCAGCGTGGCTACCTTAAAATTAGACAGCATTCTAGAAAAGACACCGCCTCTAGTTCCAGGGACCCCGGGGAACCCCCACTTCCTGCCTTCCTGAGAGGGTTGGTTCCTCAGCTCTTCCTCAGTCCCGTGAGCCACCCAGAGCCTATCAACGCAGCAGTTCTTTTTACCAGAGTTGCTTTCTGTCACTTAACCAGCAAAACAACTTCTAAATAACCTTAATCTCATCAGCCCCAGCTCCACAGACAGGGAATCTACAGCAGGCTGCATTGATGACCTCGGGCTTCAGAGTCTCTCCCAACTTTCAAAACCAAGTTCTCTTAAGGTTGGTCCCTCTACCATGCAAAACCCCAGCTGAAGGATCCAGAGAATTCCTGGCTGGCTGTCACCTCAACTGCAGTGGCCCAGGTCTCGCTGATCCCAAACTCTGGCACACACCCAGATCAAAACACCCAACAGATAAATGAGGAAGACCCGACATGAGGCTTTGATCTTCTTCTCCAGTTTGAAACAAGCAAAACTAACATTTTCTTGAGTTTTGAAAAGTGAAATGTTAACTTCAGTGTAAAATTGATCTCTTTGTTTCCTGTAGTGCTGAGATCAAGCCCAAGGCCTCTCTCCCTAGACTAGCCTTCTACCACTAGCTACACCCCACCCAGATGTGCCAGGGTCTTAATGATGAAGCATCTTTGGGGAGTGATTTTCCCCTGTGTGTGTTGGTGTTCGTGCCTTTGGACTTGGCTGGGCACAAGTGGCTACTGAGTATGGCTTTTGTTAAACAGAGATGTGAACATATTGGAAAATGGCCTTGGTCACCTGTGACTACAGTCATCCTAGCACAAAAAGATCAGTCTCAATTAGGATGAACAATTCAAAGTAGCCTACATGGCTACTGCTGTCTGGGGAGGCGGGAACTGGGGAACTGGCATTCTAAGGGTGGTTTTTGTGTGAGGGGAGAGGAAAAGAAGAGAGGGCCTAATACCAGTGTTTCCCACGGAAGTCTCACTGAACTGGTCTAGCTTTGCAAATTAACACATTCTAAATTCCCCTCGTGGAGATTCAGAACACACAATGCCTAGTGAAAGCTCCGAGAAGTCCTACAGGAATGAAACTGACCCTGAAGCAGCCCCCGTCTTTCCTCCTGGCACCTCTGGTTCCAAATGGGGCCAGGCAGCCCTGCTCACAGCTCTGCCTCTAACAGCTCCACTCCCAGGAGCCTCAGGTTCTGCTTCTTTAAAATGGGGTGACATCAGCCTTACAGGATGCTATTGGACTTTTTTTTTTAAATCAGGAATGTAAAACATATTGGGCCATGACAGTGGTGTCACACAGGGGAGCATTAGCTGTGCACAGGTTCAAATTCAGCTCCCACTGCTCAGTATCACTGCAGAAACCCTGAGTCCCTTGAGGCAGCCGCAGAGCAGGCAAGCACCCTGGCAGTCACCTCCCTGGGGCCCATGCAGGCTGCCGCAGCACAACACCACAGGCTGGCGGCGGTGTGAAACCACAGGTCTCAGGGTCCTGGAGGCTGGAAGTCCAACATCACAGCGCCTCCAAGTTTGCTGTCGGCTAGGATCCACTCCACAGTCCAGATGCCCTTCTCATCAAGCTCAGGGCTGGAGGGAGCAAGGGACCCTCCGCAGCCCCTTTGCTCAGGGCGAGGGCTCCACCCTCCTGACCTAGCCACCTCCTAAAGCTGCACCTCCTAATACTGCCACCTTGAGGGTTAGGAGGGTTAGGATGTAAACGCTGAACTGTAGCACCCCTAAAGAGCGAAGAGCCATTCTAATCCAAGCCAGGAGCTGACCTACAGAGGCAATGACGTCACCGAGTACCCAAGCCCAACTGCGCTGTGGGCGGTGCTGCAGTTTACCCACGCGACAAGCCCAGGTTCTCCCTAGAAGAGGTTGAAGTATTATCCCCGTGAAGCCCCCCGGGTAGGTATCTGTAAAAAGTTAGATCTTTGGGAGATTTGGTGGAGTCAGGGGCTGTGGCAGCCACTGCTGCTGGGGGGAAGGCCACCCCACATGTGGGAAAGCAGGCAGAGACCTTCCGAGGGCCAGGGAGGGAGGCCCGCCACCCCCAGGCTTGCTCCTCCTGAGGCCTCCCGGGGGCAGGCAGGGTGGGAACCCAGCAGGGCCAACCTCAGCCACCCTGGAAGAGGCCCAGCTGAGCCAGCCACACTGCAATTGCTGGAAAAAGCATCAAGTCGGGGGAAAAAACAAAAACAAAAACAAGAAAAGCCCTCCCAAGGGCTGCAGAAAGTCAGA